TCGGTCATTGAACCCAGGATGTCTCTCCATTTCTTGTGCACACTTCAATTTATTTCATCAATGGTTTATCATTTTCACTATAGAGATTTTTCACCTTTTTGGCTCAATTTATTCCTACATATTTTATATTTCTTGTTACCATTGAAAATGGGGTTACTTCTTGATTTCTATTTCATATAATTCACTATTGTTTCCTATCAATGTTACTGATTTTTGTATTTTGGTTTTGTACCCTGTTACTTTGTTGATTTTGATTATTAGTTCTAGTAGCTTTTTGGTAGAGTCTTTTGAGGTTTTTATATATAAGATCATATCATCTGCAGTGACAGTTTGACTTCCTGTTTTCCAATTTGGATACCCCTTTTTTTTCTTTCTCTTGCCTGATTACTCTGGTAGGACTTTCAGTTCTGTGTTAAAAAAAAAAAAGTGGTAAAAGTGGGCATCCTTGTCTTGTTAGAGCTATCTTCTTAAAAACATAAATTTTATAATATTAGTCCCTTTCTTCAAAGCCTCAACATACCCATAACTATCACATAATATAATAAAAGAGTTTTGGCAGAGATCAGCACGTGCTACCCAAATTCTATATCCTTGGGGTTTGAAGAAACAGCAGAAGCAACTTTCTTCTGCTGTTCTGTCCTGAAGCAGAGTATACAGAATTTTGTAACCTTCCTCTAGGGTAGGTAAAAAATCTCTTGCTCCAGAAGTGTCCTTCCTCCACTCAAAGAGAAGGAATGAAGACACAGAGACACAGAAAAAATCTGAACAGAGTTTGCTAAGGTCACCCCAGTTCATCACCAAGTCTTATCCTTCTTTCTCCACTCACACTTTTGCAGGAGAGTCCATAGGATTATGTAGATGCTTGTTTCTTTGGGTTTTCATTTCTAAAGGTTTCAGTGTCATGTAAAACTTACCTTAAATACATTTATATGCTTTTCTCTTGTTAATCTGTCTTTTGTTATGGAATCACAGCCACAACCTCACTGTTCAGGAAAAGATTCACTATGAGGAAAAGATAATTCTTGCTCTTTCATGCTAATAAGACCTCTGCATAGACATTGACATGAAAAACTGATTGTGGAAGTGCAAATCTGCATAGTTTATTATGGTAATCTGCCTCCAAAATGGCCTCAGCTCCAGTTCTTGGATTTCATGCTCTGCTGCAGTTTCCTCCCCAACTATATAAAGATAAATCCATGTGCCCACTGGAATACAGAAGAGATGATGGCATATCATTTTGCAAGGCTAGATTATAAAATATATTATGACTTCTGCCTTGCTCTCTCTATCTGGGATTATTTGCTCTATGGAAGGCCAGATACCATGCTGTATGGAAACTCAGGTAGTTTATGCACTGACCCATGTTGCAAATAACTGAGCCTCTTACCAATAGCCATGTGAGGAGGCCATTTCAGAAATGCATTCTCCAGCCCCAGTCAAATCTTTAGATAACTTCAGATTCACCTGGGTTCTTGATGGCAACCTTACATGGGACTCTGAGCCAGAGCTACCCAGCTAAGCCACTTTCAAATTTCATACCTACAGTATTTGTGTTTTTATGCCACTAAGTGTTTTGGGGGGGAATTTGTTATGCAGCAATTAACCATGAATATAGCTTTTGATCATACAAAATCAAAGTTAAAAGGGTCTCTAGAGATAACATATGTACTGATAATTGAGTTCTGCATTTCCCATGGAACATGAGGCGATTTGTGGAGACTTTCTTTACTTCTATTGATCAGAGTTGGCACAAACCTTGAGACCTCTGCACTATTCCTGATCTCAAGAGATACTGGGCCTGGTCCAAGCTTGCATGCCTGTTTACTGATAAGAGATTCATTTCCTGACCACAAGTCCAACACTTTCACCATTATATTCTGCTACTATTCATAAAACTGACATAATTCTACCCCTCTAATTTATATGAAATACCCACCCACTTGCTGAAGATCAATCATTTGACTTGGTAAAAATTGCTTATCTAGACAGAAGATAGCACATTGCTTAGGAGAGTGGGAGACAGTTTGAGTGCTGATTCTCATAGGTTATTCTGAATGATGGCCCCCAAAGATATATAGATTCTCATCCCTGGAACCTGTGAATGTTACCTAATATGACAAAAGGGATGTTGCAAATGTAATTTAGTTAAGGATCTTGAGATGGGATGAATTATCCAGGTAGGTCCTAAGTGTAATCACAAGTGTCTTTACAAGAGGGAGGCAGAGGGAGATTTGATAAAGAAGAAAAAGAGATGTGATGAAACAACAGAGAATGATGTGATGCCAGGTGGGAGCCAAGGAATGAGGACAGCATCCATTCTGACAGCAAATATAAGGACACACACTCTTCCACAGCCTCCGGAATGTAGCAGCCCTACAGACCCCTGGAACTTACCCACCATGACCCATGTCAGATCTCTGACTCCTGATTTTTATGTAAAAGGTAAAAATTTGTGTTGTTTTAAGATATTAAATTTGTTATGCTTTACTGAAGCTGCCACAAAAAACTAATGACACTAATCTAAGCTCTAACAGGTCCTAATTCTTATATTGAAAGGGTAAAGTTTCTAAGCCGCAAAGCCTAAAGTTAAAATGTAAAGGGCCAGGCATTGTAAACCTGCTTCTAAACTGCAAAACCTGGGTTAAGCTCCTGAGGCAGTTAAGACAATGCCCTACTGGTCATTTGGTTGTTTAATAACTTAGGGCTCTGAGTAGCCTAGCACGTAGGTATCCAGGCCCAAAACCAATCAGCTTGAATGTGTACCCCGCTTAGAAGTGACCAATCACCCCTGCCCAGCTTGTTCCCGCCAATGAATGTACTAATCAAGTCTAAGAATTGTTGTTCAATTTTCCCGCCCTCTCCAAAAAGTGCACTTAAGCATTGTTCAACCCCTGCTCTGGGCTCTGGGCTGCTCTCCTTTCTTGAGTGGGCACGGAGCCCCAGCATGCTGGTTCAATAAATCCCCTTCTGCCAATTGCATGAGTGGTCTCTTGGTGGTCTCTTTCTCCGACGCTTCGCCGGACCCTTACAATATTTTGTGTGGGAGAAGCCATTCTAAGACTTCATTTTCATATCTATAAAATGAGAATAATAAAATGTCTGTTTCATAGACTTTTGAGACAATGAGTAAGACTATATAAATTACCTAATACGGAACTTGGCACATAGAAAGTTCTTTGTTGCCCATGGATTTGGTCTAGGTAGGAAGATTACAATATTTATTTATTTATTCAGCTTTTTTTTTTTTAAATCCAGTAGAGTATTACATATATATGGAATATAGAAAGAATGAAACATTTATTAGTAATTCTACTTCTCTGATTGTCCCTTCTCATGGGCATAGACTGCAAAATGGGGGAAAAACAAACAGATAAATGACTGCAGAATAACCCCTATGAGAGCTATAAAGAGGATTTTGAAAGGATGTCTTTGCCTATTATCTGCTTTTAGAGAAAGCCACACAGAGAGGTGAAAAGTTACCCTATTTATAAATATCTCCAGGGAGGGAATGACCACGAACTTTCCTGATCATTTCTCTTGGAATATATAAAGCTTGTTTTGTTTCAAAGACGCCTGCACTGATGGTTGCACATTCTTCTTTATAAGAAAATGGTCTTGTTTTTAAAAGTTGCTTAGTAGCCAAGGCTGCCTAAAAAAGTCAATTACAAATAACCATGTTAGCTGATCATGTTTCCATGTTTCTAGTATAACCTCAGGACCACTGAATATGTGACAATGTAACCTTTTCCTTATCCTATATTTCAAAAGGTGCTATTGAAAGAAAATTACAATAATCATAGTTCATTGTATTATTTATCCCTACAACTCAGTTTTTTTTACATGAATGTATTTTCTACTGAGTTAACATTTGTATTCTATTGTTTATATGTACCTATCACATATGCATAGATTAAGTGCTCTGTGGTTTCTATCATGAGCCCTGCTGGGTAGGAACAATGTCTACATAATTCCCTTGAAGCACCTGGTAGAACAGCTTATACTTTGTGATTGTTTATGATGATAGAGATGATACTAGAAAATGAAACCAAAAGGACCTTTTAAAAATAGGGTTTCATAGTATTGGGCCTTTTATTGAACATTTATTTACAGAGTAAAAAAAAAAAAACTTGAGCATAACTATTCTAACATTATGACCAATAACAAATAGTCAAGGGTGGTGATATTCAAAGGTCCTCTTGATCAAAGATGATTTGTGGAAGAAAGTAAAGGAATGTGGCTCATTGACTTGACTTTTAGCCCCACAATCAGAAAAGTACAGTGCCTGGTACAGGAAAAAAGTCAGTCTGAAGGCAGTTGACAGAGATGTCATGCTTTCTAATGCAGCCTGACCCACCTAAATTGGTCAAAGAGGCAGACACCTAATTACATTGGCCTTGGTTGGCCAACAGAGATTGACAGCTAAAGTAGAGCTCACCTCCTACATATGAGAGCTCATGCCTCACTGGTGCCATCCAATGTCTTGGTGCCTTAGTATGTCTCATTGATCATTTTTAAATCTCTGCTCCAAAGCTAAGTGTGGCAAAAAAAAAAAAAAAAAATTGCTTTCCCTTACGTACTAAAACTAGTATGCTCTAGTTTTAATGGAGCGTGATGATAAAAATGGCATCTCCAATAAGTATTGGTCCACGTCTCTTTAGGTAAGAAGATAATGCTAGTTTTATAATTTTTTTTTTTGCGTGTAGAAATTAAAATTAATTCATGACCTGAAATGTTCCCAGGATATTGAACTATTTCTCAGTTTCTAGGAGAGAAGAAAAAAAAATTTATTTATCCCACTGTACAGATGGAAAAGTACTGTGATCATTGCTTTAGCCAAAATTCATGTAGGTTTGATGCATTCAGCTTGCACAAGATCAACAGTGCTTTCCTATTCCCACAGTAAACACTGAGCCCTGTTTATAACAGAAGGGCAGTATCTGTGGTTCCCATTAGCAAAGCGCTCCAAGCTTCTTTTTCCCTTTTCTCAGAGACACCAGAAATGTGCCTTTGCAATAGTTTGCCACATCTTTAAATCATGATTAATTTAAACCTTTTTCTCTCCTTGCTTAGGCCTGACACAAGCAACTGCTTTCCTGTCACATTGATTTTTCTGTCCTTGCGGATTCATAGCCAGGGCTGAGTCCTCCTAACAGGGTGAGTTCTCTGACAAGGAAATTTTGCAACCTAATTTACAGCGGGAGTCAAGTTTGTCAGTGAGTGCCAGAGGGCAGCTGTCGCAACTGGCTTGTTAAGTATGCATTTAATAGTGTTTATCCAAGCGAGTTTGTGATTTCTTCACTCTCTCCAACAAATATGTTATTTGTAATACCTATCTTCTCTAATCTAGGTGTTTGAAAAATGTCTGTAACATGTGTGGGCTAGAATACATTTGTTTTTCTCTAGGTATAGTCATTTAGCAAGGGCAGGCTTTGAGGATCTATCAAAAACTGCTTGCCACCTTTCCAAATCATCACTGTCTGCAGTGACCATGCCTGAATCCTGGAGGAAAACAAGGTAATCTTTTCAAATAAACATTCTCAAGGATGTTTTAGAAGAGACCCAGTTGCTAGCATGCAGAACCCTTCTAGCTCTTGAAAATATAGTTATACCAAGGGAGAAAAATGATAAGAAGAGGGAGTGTTGGTGTTTAGTGTTTTCAGATGATTAGAAATAATAAGCAAAATTATAAGCAAAGATTTGTATTTGTATCCTTGTGGATATTTTGAAAAGTCACTTGAGATTTTGTTTCTCTCGATGTATTTGATGAAAAATGAGACACAGAGGGGTCAAACACTTGAAGTAGATTAAATGAGAGATCTGGATATAAGGAGGCTGTTCTGCTTACCTTACACTAATTCTAGAGTAAATTGAAAGCATCCAGTTGAAAATGCCTTTTATACAACTGACCTACAGAAATGCATAGCTTAGCAGCTCACTTTTCCCTGGAGCATCAGCCACTTTCCCTCCTGAATGACCTGGCTGACTGGGAACTGCGCACACTGCTGCTGCTGCCCAGTATCCCAAATCACAGGCCTCAAAATCTGAAGTATGGTTTCTACTGCATGTGTCTTATTTCAACACCATCATGAAATTGAAAAACACAAGTCAAACCATGGTGAGACAGGGATCCCCTGTGTTCGAACCTCAGCTTATTAGGCTTCGCTGGACTTGGCCACTCCAGTGAGAGAATATGAGGTGAAGAAACAGTTGACCATTAAAAAACAAATGGCACTGGCCACATAGAAGCTACTAATGCCCTATCTCCATCCTCAAGAGATTTGGCATGGAAAAAAAAAGAGAAAAGGTAGGAAATAGAATAAACCGAACATTACTTGAGTTATATAATTAACTTAAATCAAAACAGACCTGGTATTCTGGGACATCTATCATTATTATTTTTTGTGTGTATCTATCTATCTAAATTACATATGTATAATTTATCTATTTAAAATTTCACAAGCTCAAGGACTTAGCACTGGTCCTGGCCCACAAGACCTCTCTGACACATGTGTAGATTTGGGGGACATTCCCCCTGCCTAGCATTCAATCCCTGATATCATGCCCAATCTCAGCGGCTGCAGTTTGAAAAAGACCCGGTCCCCAGGGTTTCATATGTAAACTAGGGTGATCAACCACCCCCCATTTCCTAGGACTGAGAGATTGGCTGCAACAAGAGATTGTACAGTGCTAAAACTAGTTCAGTCCTGAGAAAACCAGGTTGGTCTTTTCCCCCATGTAATACTCACCTATCCAATCGCTACATTTCATCCTCCACTATATTCTGTTTAGCCACTATAATTGGTTCAGACATAGGCTATACAAACCTGGCAGCAAATCATGGGATTTTGTGGGAACTACTGGGTCAACGACTTTACTTCTGCAATGGTCACTGTCTTGAGCTTTAGTTAACCTTCTTTACCTCATGAGGGGAGAGGCTCATTGCAAGTGTTACCTCCTTTGGAGGAAGTCACAGCCATGGAGAAACCGAGTTTTGGTAAATTTATTTAGTTCTTTTCTGGGTTCTGGATCAACCTTGCCTGAAACTACCCTATTGTTGAGCTTTTTAGTGAGTCAATAAATTCTTCACACTAATTTCTATTATTGTTTGTTTTTGTTAAACTATTTGGGTTGAATTTCCATCATGTGAAACTAGAACAGTCTTCACTTAGAAAACAAGGGAAAGGAAGGAATGCAAATAGTCTAGTTGCAATTTTTTTAGGCTCATAATTAACATAACCAGAGGTTGTCCATTTTCTTTTCTTTTCCATAGTCTCCTTGAAGTACTGTGGGGTGTGTGTGTGTGTGTGTGTGTGTGTCCTCTCTAATGCAACCTGTGAACTGTACGTATCTTTGTGGGGTAGGGAACTGAAGGCAGCAAAATAGCTGCATACTGGCAATAACCTAGGAATTTCTGAAGTTTTTTTTTTTTTTTTTTTTAAAGCAGGAAACAATGAAGTCTTGTTGTCCTTCTGCTATGTCTTCCTCCTTTGCACTCAGACTTCTGTGCTTTGTCATGCTGTATTTTGCTCCATTGTGATGATTCTCAGAATATATCGTAAGCCTCATCTTAGGAACCTGAAATCTACAGTTCCTGAGGTTCCAACCTGTAGACTGGGACTCTTAAGAGTTCATAGAGCTGCAAACTCAGACATCTGAAACCTCAGTCACCTGTTTATCTTTACTTGATCAATGGGCTCTAAAATGCAATCATTCACATGTAAAAGTATTCTAACACTTTTGGACAGTATCACAAGAGTGAGTAAGAATCCAATAGATAAATGTAATTAAGTTGCTAGTGGGTAACTTGACATAGTTAAGTGCCCTATGTAAAAGCACTTAACATATATTAAAAGATATTTAGATTTCACAGCAATCTTATAAGACAGGTGTTATTCTCTTTGTTGTCCTAAAATGGAAAAAATAAAATGATTACATTTTCTTTATTCTATATTTGTTTAACAAGATTCATTTTAAATCATTATATTCTCATGAGTTAACCTCCAGTAGAGAAAATAGGTTTACAAGCATGTTTATGATACCATCTGTGAGTACATAAAGAAGCACCATGAGGGAGGAGAGAAAAGGCATGGGCAGCAGAAGAAGGTGTTGGGTGTGGGTCACACACATCAGAGAGACTCCCCCAAAAGAATGAGGCCTGAGCTGAATCTGAGCATATATGCTCAGTTGCAAAATTCTTTTTACCTTTTTTCAGGAGAAGGTTCCACTAATTTGCCATGAGAAATTTCAGTTTCTTTTTCTGCTTAAGTGACAGAACTCTGACCCATGAAGCAAAAGAGTCAGATTCTTAATTCTGGATTCACTACTAAAGAGACTATTCTGCAAAGTTTCATAAAAGAGTCCTCATATGCAAATAGGTCAACACATTCATTCATAATAGCCTCCCTTCCAAACTTAAAGTCTTTAGTAAAACTTCAGGTAGAGCCTTCCTTTTCTACCTTCACTAAGTCGTTGCCCCCACCTCACAGTTTAGAAACCAGGCATTACAGCTGGGTGTGAAGGGAGCTCAGCTTACAAGGAAAAAGTTTCATCTCATTTCATTTCTACCAATAACAAAATATCACCCTCTTATAGCTTCAGTGTATCTTCACTCAGTATCTTGTAGGACAGACACTGAAGATTTAGCAAATCAGGTTAATGACATTGATGAAACAGTTTCCCTAAAATTCTCCATCTAAACATTATTAAATTCACAGAAGAGTAGCGAGATTCATCAGATATTTGATACCCATGAAAGCTTCCTATACAGAAGCAAAACAAAATAAAACAACAACAAAAACTCCCACACTTTTATATGAATGTATTTTGGAAGTAGACCAAATTCTTAATCTTACAATCTGGCTTTTCCAAAAATCAGCTTGTTGTGTGTAATTTTGCTGTGTCTGGGAATTCATTTATACATATGTAGAATTAAGAATTTAGATCAAGAGCTGAGAGAGGGTGGGTGGCTGGAGAACACTGTCTGTTGAATTGTGTTCAACAGAGTTTACCATAGGTGCCAGCTTAAAGACAGAAGTAATTTTTGAGATTATATAAAAAAAAATGGAAAACTGTTTATTGACCTTATTGGTGTACTTGGCCTCTCACAGTAGATTTCGTTTTGGGGAGTGGGTATCAAAAATTCTTAGTACTAGCAACTAATTTGATTTAAATAAAAACACTTCGTCATGTTTTAAGGATAAATGTAGCAGCTGGTACATATTGCATACCAATATTAAAATTATGATACAATGGCTTAAAATAGAAGATGATTTGGCCTCCACAAAATGGATATTTTTTTCACACTCCAGGTTGATATTTATATTTTATTTCTCTGTAGCTAAACATATGACAGTCATGGCCAATGTGACTCTGCAGAGGGTCCTATGGACTGGCTGTCTTATGCTCTTACAGGTTCAACTGTTTCCCAGAAGGACATTGTTTCAGGAATAAGTCTCAAATCCTTACTCAACATGGACCCTGAAGGTTTGTCTAGTGCATGGTATCAGAATTATGGACTTCATGCACGTTCATCCAAAGCCAGTATAGCCAATGCCTATTTTCACTAATAATTGGATAATACTACTGGAAAAGTCTCTGGTATTTTCTACCTATCATTTGCTACTTCGAATATGGAATGCCACCTCTATACTATATCACAGTTGACATTTAAAGCCAATAGAATATATAAATTGTTTATAACTATCTCCAACCACCTACTCCAAGTGACTGTTTCTTCTGCTTTGTTGCTACCTTTGCAATTATTAAACTTCCATTTGTATTAAACTACCTTCACTGTAGCAGAAAAAGGTGCATTATTAAGACATAATTTCCCTTTCCTCCTCCTTCTCCTCTTCTTCTTCTTCTTCTTTTAATTGAGACAGGGTCTTGCTTAGTTGCTTAGGGTCTCACTAAGTTGCTAAAGTTGGCTTTGAACTTGCAATTCTCCTGCCTCAGCCTCCTGAGTCACTGGGATGATAATTATGCACTACCACATCTGGCTTTCCTCTCTCTTTTTTTTTTTATTGGTTGTTCACAACATTACAAAGCTCTTGACATATCATATTTCATACATTAGATTGAAGTGGGTTAT